TCAAAAAACTAGTAATAAAACTACCATATGACCTAGCAATTCTACTCTTAGGCATATGCCCAAAAGACTTGAAAGCAGACACTCAAAAAGATACTTGTACATCAATGTTCATTGCAACACTACTCACAATAGCCAAAAGGTGGAAACATTACTAGAACAGAAGCTGGGTTCTAATCCAGTTTACAAGTAATTAGTTGCGAGACAAGGCAAGTCACTTAACTATGCTGAATCCACTTCTCCTATACAGCAAAGGTGTTAGAGCAGATAGTCTTTTAGGTTCATTCAAATTCTAAAGGTCTGAGAAAGAAAACAAGCTCCATGTCTCCCCATTTAATTAATTTATAATTCTATTCCTGAAGCTTTTATATTTTCAAGAAGCAGTAACTGAGTCTTGATTGTTTTGGGAACCACTATATACCACTGTTCGCTTAAGAGAGTAAAAAAGAATATTCAAATCTAAAAGTTGTAAAACTAATTATTATTATCAGTGGTAGCAGTAATAATAATAATAATGCTAAGCTGTACTTACTGTGTGCTAGGCACTGCTCTAAAAACTTGATAATATAACTCGAGGGAAAAAAAAGATGAAGACAACAAAAGGTATCTGAGAACCTTGAAACCAGTAAAGTATGTAAGAGGGGATAATGTTGAATATTAAATTGTTACTCCTATTAAAGCTATGGAAATACTTAATAACAAACTGTAACCATAAAATAGTGATAAAATGATCATTGGAAAGAACCATATTATGTGTAAATTAATGACTTGGCCTTCTAAATTGTGAACTATTTTCTACCTAGGGAAGAATTATCAGTTAGGGCCCTCTAGTAGCATTTAATGCATGTGTGCATTTTCTCTGAGACTATATATGCAAACATGGACAATGATTCTGCCTAATTCCTTTGTGAACCATGATTTTAACCATTACTGACCTCAAGAGAAAGGGTTTATTTATAGCACAATGTGTCAAGCAGGTTAAGGAATGAAAAATTCCTCCTCGGTTTGTATAGCAGATATCAGACCACTAAACTAAACAGGACCCTAACTGTAGCTTTTCTCTTTAAATCCTTGGCAGTGCTGCTCTCCACAGAGATCCCTACACTCTGACAGTTATGTATGTTTACAAGCCTATACAACAGAAAGATCCCCATGAGAATTTAGAATGGATTTTTATTAATATCTACTAGATAAGTGCCATAAATATACCACTGTTCTAGGTTTTCAAGCCGGTAGCACTGCATAAGAAATACAAATTCTTTCTGTTTTACATTTGGAACAGGGTGCTTCAATGAAGCAATGATTCCGTGAAGAAATGACTGGCCTACTCCCAAGGCCAACACAGACTGGGCATGTGTCAGAAAAATAAGATTAAACAATATTAAACAAATCGCACTCTATCTTCAACTATAATCACAAACTCAATAAACCCTTTTCGGATTGCAGACACAGAATCAAGAAGGTTATGGCTAGAGAGGAGTACGTCTAGAGAGGCTAAGTCAAGAAGCTGGTTCAGGAGACACATGGAACTGGAATTCCCTGACTCCCAACCTCTAGTTTCAAAACTAGAGGTTTTACCTCAAAACAAACAAAACATTTTAAAAAGCAAAAAAAAGAGAAAGAAATCTACTTGTTTCTCTTTATCCACTGGAGCACAAGTATCCTCTCGGCCAGGGGCCAGCAAACCACTGCTCGCGGCCCACTGCCTGTTTTTGCATAGCCCGTGAGAAAATCTAAGAGTGGTTTTTACATTTTTTAATGGTTGGGGAAAAAAAAAAAAAATCAAAAGAAGAATAATATGTCATGACACAGGAACACTTTGTGAAATTCAAATTTCAGTGTCATAAATATCTTTTTTTATTTCTCATACTGTCATGTTGTTTGTTTACATACCATCTATGGCTGCTTTAGCACTACAAGCAAAGGTGACTAGTTTTGACAGAAACTGTAAGATCCACAAGAAATAAAAACAGACTCTCTGCCCTTTACAAAAAAGGTTTTCAGATCTCTACTCTCTTCTGACCCAGTGAAAAAGTATACCATAAATACAGTACATATATATAGAAAGAGAGAAGGGGGGGAGAGGGAGGAAGGGTGAGACAGAGAGAATATGAATGAGAAAAACAAAAGGGAAATAGAAAAAATTAAAGTTGTATATCCAAGCTTTAAGGAGCCCTGGTGGAGTAAATGGTTACACGCCAAGCTGCTAACCAAAAGGCTGGCAGTTCAAACTTACCTAGCAGCTCCAGGGAAGAAAGATCTGGTGATCTGCTTCCATAAAGATTATAGCCAAGGAAACCCTATCGGGCAGTTCTGTCACATGAAGTCACTCTGAGTCAGAATCGACTCCATGGCACCTAACAGCAACAACATCATCATCCATGCTTTATCCCTTTAATTCACAGCAAACGGCAAACTCGGCAGGGCAAGATGGAGGAGAGGTAACTAGTCAGATTTCACCTCATTATAACAATACTGTCAACACGAAAACCTCCACTATTTAGACCTGAAAACTTTCAAGAACTGAAAATTCCATTGACATATGTTGTCTCCAGCTATATACAAGGTGGAGGCAGACACAGCATAAGGCACAGATAGCTCCTACCAACAGACATTTTTCTCAGGATCTGACACTGGTTAAAATACATCCACCAGTCACAGAGTCAGGATAACAGTCAGGAGGAATGTGCCTGTTGTGTTAAGTCCTAGGTTACGAATCAAACTCCAAGCTCTCATTTCAGCAGGGTCTGTTCTTTTACCTATAAAATGAGGCACGCTCATCAACCAGAGAAATATTCTTTCTCTCAACTCCAAAAAAAACTAGAGGAAATATGAGTAGAAGAGGAAAGGGACTGGGAGAGAAAAGTTTGTTTTTTTCTTTTTTTAAATTAATGGTTTGTCTTCTTCTCTATGGTAGATAAGATACAGTTGGGATAGATATAGCCCTCATGAGAAAACAAAGGCTCTAGAGCCAAGCATCAGGCTGGATTCAAAGGCACCAATCACTACAATGTTAAAATGGAGGACCAAGAAACAAACACTGAATTCAAGGCTGTGAGTTTTTTCCCTTCCCTTTTTGACGGGCTTCAGGCAAAGACACATGTACCCAGGGAGGGTGTATTCTTTTATTTTCCCAGGGGCAAAAGCAACATTTGTCTGAATAATGCCTGCTACACAAGTAGCCACCCAGGCATTAGTCATGAATATTATCTGTAATGAGGGGCGGGTTAGAACAGTCAGCACCTTTCCACCACAGTACTCCAATAAAATGAGGCTTGTTTATCACAGTTCATACACTTGCAACAGTTTGGGACAGTACAGTTCTGTTTACCTACGGGTGAACCTTTAAAAAAAAAAAAACAGCCCTCTGAGGAGAAAAACAGAGCACTGTCAAGTCTAGCCAAAAAAGACTGACTTTCTGAGGGGCAGTATTATTTAGCCCAGTAATTTGATTAGCTTCCTAAAGGTTTTTCTTTGTGCAGCATGGAATCTAAAGCTTAGAGCACTGTTGCAACAAGTTTAATAAGTTCCTTTGTTTCAAAAGTTAATAGTTTTAAACAAGAGAAAAATAACAATCTCAGGACCCTGAAGTGAAAATATTTTAAAAAACTTACTGAAATACTAAACACAGAACTACCATATGACCTAGCAACTCCACTCCCAAGTCTACGGAAACATCATGTCCACCCAAAACTTGTAAATAAATGTTGAGGGTAGTAATATTCACAGTAGCAAAAAAGTGGAAACAATACCAATGTCCAACAAAATATGGTATATCTATACAATGGAATATTATTCGAAAACAAAAAGGAATAAAGTACTGATATATGCTACAACATGGATGAACCTGGAAAACATGTTGAGTGAAAGAAGCCAGTCACAAAAGACCACATAGTATATGATTCCATTTATATGAAATGTCCAGAATAGGCAAATCCATAAACAAAGAAAGTAGATTAGTGGTTTCTAGGAGGTGGAGGTGGGAGTGGGGAGGGACTGCTAATGAGTACGATGTTGCTTTCTGGGGTGATGAAAATGTTATAAAATTAGGTAGGGGTGATGGCTGCATAACTCTATGAATATATTTAAAACAACCACACACTCTAAAATGGCTGGATTTTTTTTTTTTTTTAAAAACATTGTTTTCACTGACTTTTTTGTTTGTTTGCTTTAGTACATATATTGTTTTATGGCATTGGTTAACAACCCCATGACATGTCAGTACTCTCCCTTCTCAACCTTGGGTTCCCTATTACCAGCTTTCCTGTTGCCTCCTGCCTTCTAGTCCTTGCCCCTGGGCTGGTGTGCCCCTTTAGTCTCATTTTGTCCTATGGGTCTGTCCAATCTTTGGCTAAAAGGTGAACCTACAGAGTGACCTCAATGCTGGGTTAAAAGGATGTCTAGGGGCCATACTCTCGCAGTTTCTCCAGCCTCTGTCAGGCCAGTAAGTCTGGTCTTTTTTGTGTAAAATGGGTGGATTTTATGGTATGTGAATTATATCTCAATAAAGCTGTGATTTTAAAAAAATTACTGTACTATTTCATTTCCACTGTGAAAATGGCATACTTCCTACTTTAGACCATAGTACTGAGCTATAAATTAAAATCTCATTTTGCCGCTATGTTTCTATATAAAGAAAAAAGAGTCAGGTTTGTGAAGGGTTAACATTTCCCTTCTGTGGTGACTATTATTTTCTGACACTTTAAGCTGGACGACAAATTTAAATGTCATGAGTTCATAGGGAATCTTCTTCATTATCATTTCCAAGGAATTCATGCAGGAGAGCTCATTCCAGAACTTCGCTGTGTGGTGCACAGCATTTATGAAAGCTTAACTGCGATCACATATCCATATTTATATAATAGAACAAGAGAGAAGGAAAGAACACTATCTTGCAAAAAAAAAAAAAAAAAAACCCAAATAAAAAACAAGGCCGTAAATCAGATGCAACAGAACAAGCTAAGCACATTCTGCGCCCATACAGACTTATTGATGCCACTTACCACTTGGGTCTTCGGGTTTTGTTTCATCATAGGTGTAGTTATGTGCCCTACAGTCAGCTCTTCAGAAACTGAACTCTTCTTGGAATTACTCAGAAAGTCCACTTCATCTTCAGCTTTCGTGTCTGGCATTTCTGAAGAGAACAAGGGGGTTACAGAGTGCATTTGAAAAATTGATTCTTGTGCCTTACTATTTACACAACATGCTCTGGGTATCATGCACTTTGTTTGTGTTTGCTTTTGTTTTAAAATGGAAAAGTATTCTTTTGCTGAAACTTCAGCCCCTGGTGTCATTTCTGACCCTGTGCTAAGCTATTCCTTTACCACATGGTTGTATGGTTTTCCCTAAAAGTAGCCAAGGATCATAATTTAGCCTTGTTTGGGTTTGGAGCTAAAGGAGGATCCAATTCAATGTCTCTTGAACTTCCATTTTCACTACTGACTTTTCATGACCAATGTGAGTGTGGTGCTGACTTGCATATGGAAAAGTAAATTAATACGCTTCAAGGGACCAGACTAATAGCTGAAGGTAGGTGGTCTATTTTGGCCACCATCAAAAAAGGCAGGAGATAGTAGTATAGGACAATTAAGGGAAAAGCCGTCAACAGCTATCTTAAACCATAGATGAGAAGGTTGGGGGACACGGAGATTAAGTAAATGGAAGTGAAACAACTACAACAGAAATAACGAGATTGTTGACACAATGAGAAGAAAGTCACTGATCATTATGTCTAGAAACTGCGCAACGGCAACAGGCTTTGCTGTGTATATTTTCACTAAACAAAACAAAACAAACTTTCTCAAAAAAAAAAACAAAAAGGAAAAAGCCACTGAGAATAAGGCAATGCCTTTGGGACAAGTCTAGCTTTCTTTTAAAATGTACCACACTCCCTGATCTACCCATTACTGCGACTGATAAGACTAAGTGAACTATTCTAGTAAGTTATAATTTTTTAAGTCTTATTTCTTCCCCAAACCAAAACATAATCCCAAACTAGCAATCCCTCTTCTTAAGAAAAAAGTTTTTACACGTGCTTTCTCTGGGATTAGGTAATTGTCTTCTTGCTGACCATGCTCAAGGGACCAAAGAGCAGTAGTTTTTGTTACTATATGCCATTATACAGTCAATCAAATACAGAAAGAAAGTGATAAAATAATGTCTGAGGCAAATTTCAGCTTCTCATGCTTCCTTAAAGAGGACTGATGATTGAACAGTCAAATCCACCTTAATAATCCAAATACAAGCGCAACTATCATCTCAATTTCATGCGGAAAATTTCCTGAGATTGTTATTCACGTAGTGGTACCTCTACTGTAGCAGAGAAAATTGCTCCCTACACCAAAGGGCAGAGAGGTTTCTTTCACCAAAGAAAAAATTACATTAATTAAGATTTTATCCTAGCAGCACACTGTGACATTTATAAAGGTCTATGTGAATATGGTGCAGGACTGTGCGACATTATGTTCTGTTACACGTAAGGTTGTCGGGAGCCAGAGATGACACGTTCGCAACTAACAAAAACAACTTAAGATTTAGGAAAGTTCCATTTCTATAAATGAACATTTATAAATCACTTTTCTTCTTTCTTTGCTCTTATATAATCTTAATAGCAATTTAAAAATGGGTAAACAAGCTTCCCTGCCCAAAGAACCAAAGTCTGTCCTGCATTTCATAAAATGTGATTAAAGTTTAAAAAAAAAAAAGAAAAGAAAATCTGACTAAGCAACTCCCATAGAGGTATCCCTTGATCAAAACATTTCTAAGTGAGTCAGAGTAATTTTTTCATTTTTTGGTTGCTGATGATTTTTATATTATTTATTTGGGGATGTGATTTTTGGCACAACCTTCCTTTCCTATACCCATGAACTGAAAATATGTATCTTGGCCAAGTCACACCCCAGTCACAGTGGTAAACGGTGATTACTGAGACTTGAGGGGTGTCGGCAATCTCTGCAGGCCTGGTCTGGCTCAGCAGTGTACCGCCAACGTCCCAAAGCACAGTGATCAATGCTCTTGATGGCTGAGGGGCCACATTCCCTTCTTTCTACCTGGAAGTTTTGTGTTTTCCCCATTTCAATTTCTATCTGGCTTTATCTCAAGCAGTATATAATAACAGGAAGTCAATGCTGTGTAGATGTTAGGGAGAGATGTTGCAAACCTCCGAATCAGCAGTTAAACTTATGTCTTTTCACTCTTAAGACAGTATGGTTAAATCCATGAACAGACTGTAGACGTCCTAGAAAATACCCTTTGACTCTGACCTCACTCTCGGGTGCTTTTTCTCCAGGGCAACGTGACTAGGGACGTTCCTCAACCCTGGCTATTTTCTGAAGAAAGCCCCGATTTCTTTATCACTAACTACTTCTGCCTACAGTTTCAGAATATGAGCACCCAGCATATATGCCTCCTTTGGGTAGCAAAACAACTTGCCAACGCATATATATTTATCCAAAACCCATATACTGTTGAAACTTCATGCATCTTGTTATCCTTCCTAAAGCCTTAAAAATCTTAAAAATCATTTCTTGGCATCTTTATTTATGAATTATTAAAAACCAAAGTCTGAAATTCTGCCTGGTTTTTACCTTTTATCATAGACTACCACAGAAACAAACCCTACACACCGTTGGCCCTTTCTTGGGTTAAATTCTCACGGAGCCGTTAAGAGAAATAATTCCAGCCCATGTGGCCAAAGACACACCACCCAAATGAGAAGAACATAGCAGGCGTCAGCTTACAGCCACTCCCATTCTTCTGAAATGTCAACCTGCCAGGGCCCCTGAAATAGACTTGTTGTTGTGCCTGAGTTTTAAAAATTAGAGACCTTCTCATTAAAGTTCTGAGACAGCAGCCAACAAATTTCTATCACTAACAATCCAAATCATCTCTCAAAACTAAAAACCTGAAGTCACCAAAAATACTACCTCAGGTTCCTTAAAGCCCTCAGCTTGGTAGTGTGTGTGTGGCAGGAGGGAGGCCCAGGTTATAAATGGTTAAAAACCCTTTATTGAGGAAAATGGCCACTGGGTTTAAATTGCTCTTCTTCCTAAGAGACTTTGGATAAGAATTACATGACTTCTTTTCTTGATCTACTTGTTCGTTTCTCTCCACACTCCCTCCCACGCACCAAGACTCTTAACAAGTACTACATTTAGAAGGATCTTCAAAAAGTAAAAATAACAACAAAAAACATAATAATAAAAAAAAAAAAACAGGCCACTTCTTACCTACAAGAGCCTAAGGGCAAGCATGGAGATAGGTCCTCTGTCTGCACCTGGTAACAGGTGGTGGTATAAAACAGTCTGAATCAAACTGACCGTCAAAGACTTCAGGAGTCAATACCAAGGCCGTCTCCAGTTTCAGCTTCAGCCTCAACCCCCAATAAGAAGTTTTATTCAGATAGTTTATTTCCGCTGAGCAGTAGTGGTTTCTCTTTGCTCTCTCTGGACGTGGTTACCCACAGACTGAACAGGCTGCTGAGTGAAGCAGCTGCACTGAGCAAATTGTGAGCAATCTGCTTGGTGCAGCTGCTTCACCCAGATAAGCAGAGACAAGGTCTGCCCTGTGACAGCAGCTCAGCCGACTGGGCTTGGGCGGAAATCCTGTATCCTACCCCCTGCACTGTGAACGGTCCTGAATTCCCAGACTGCTGCCCAAAAGCAACAGGCAATGCAACTGGAGGTCTGCTCCGAAGGCAGGAAAAGGAGGGAGCTCCCTCTTCCCATCCCTCAGCTCCACCAATGACCCAGTACCACCACTTTAGATACTGGGTCACCAGCTTGGAACGATAGCTCCAGCTGCTCATGAAACCACCCCTGACTCTAAGTGTGCTCAGAATACAGACTAGGATGATAGGGAAAGAAGAAGGGGGTTTCAGGCTTGTAAATAAAGTAGAAACTGCAGAAACTCCCCAACCATACTGTTCAGCACTGTTTTCTACGGCCCTAGAGAAAAGGACTAAGCCATGTGAATAAAAACATCTACTAAATTCCTTTACCATTTTAGAGCACCTGTGATCCAGGCATTGTTTTCCAGGTTTGCAAAGTTGCAACTGCTCCAGTGTGACAGACAGAGCTTTAAGCAATCAAGCCAGCAATCTATAAGACAGGAAGCAAAATCTGCCCAACCCTCAGAGATGACGTGCCTCTTCTGATGATGGCGACTATTAACCTGGCGACCTACCAAATGAGTGCAATACCTCTAAATAAAGATGTCTATATTTTTTTTCCAGCACATCACAGAGACTCTTAAAGTAATCTGCTTCTTAACTTGTTAATTCTGTATTGTTTTGCTTACCTGTTGCCGGCTCAGGTCCTTGGACAGGCAGGATACTTTTCTCTGGCTCCTCCTTTCCAGCACAACATCCTGCAACGTTCACAGTGGCTTCTCCATGAATACTGACCACCTGTGGGGTCTGCCCTGGCAGGAAAGCATTCACCTTCTCAGGAGAAACATTCTCTAGCTGTTCAGTCACAGGGCCTGACTCAGAAGGGCTGGGCGGTAGAATGTGACTGATTTCCCTGTCAGTAATCAGTGCTCCTGAGGCCTTGACTCGTTCTATGACAACAGCCACTATTTGACTTGCAGCCTCCTCTATCAAGTCTGCTCCCTCAGGCAGAGTCACAGCTTTGGCGGACACAGTGCTGGACAGAGTGGGAACACTTCTTTCCTTGCGCGGGGCTGCAGCTTGCCTGACCTCCTTCATGCCAGGTGGGGCCCTGTTTTCAGTGGTTGACAGCCCTCTGTCTGCAGTGAGCTCCTTGGCAACAGGCTGCAGTGGGACTTGATTTGCTTCATCATCCATCTGTGCCTCCTTGGAGTTGCCCAGAGTACAGCTATGGCCTGCTCCCTCTAGCTTCCCTTTCTCCCAGTCAAGTGGTAGCACCTCTGGGGTTACAGCTACCTGTAGGTCAGTCATACTTTTGTCTGGTAAAGCTTCTGGCAAACCCAGGATCATATTCTTCTCCGGGCTCAACAAGACTTTTGAAGCAGGGATGTCTTGGGTGTTGTGTGATATATCCTTTCTTCTGGCCCCAACAGTATCTTGTTGAGTGCTAACCATGGCAACATCCAATGTCACATTTTCATTCACCTCACAAGCAGCAGTTTCTCCCTGGGTTTGAGCGTCCTTCACTCCAGCATCCTGAACAAAAGACTGACTATAATTAAGAGCCTCAGATGAATCTGGCACCAGACCTAGCAACAGAGGTGGGTTGCTCTGCTCTGGGCCCAAGGCTTCCTGCCTGGAAGCTACAGTCAGACTTGCTCCTGGTGGCACCAAGCTCTGTGCAGCCCCACCTTCAGTCAGCAATGAGCCTTGTGGGGCGACTTTCTTGTTATTTTCAGTTTCTACATTAAGAAAGGCAGAGGATGTGTCCAGTGAATTACTGTGCTGAAGTGTGTTGCCTTCAGCACAGGCAGCTGAACTAGGTTCTTCACAAAATCCCAGTGCTTCCTTTCCAGGAGGTGGTGTTCTCTGCTCTTCCTGTAACACTCCTGAAGAAAGACTGTCTTCCTCGATGAAGTGGCAAATCACTGCTTTATCTTTGTCATCTTGTCCCTGAGCTGCAGAGCTTTCTGGAACCACCAGCTGTTTTCCTTCTCCAGTCAAAACTGAATCAGTGGCCAAAGAGGCCTTACTCACACTTAGCAGGGAAGACTCAGTGTCCAAACCCTCGATACTCAGAACTTCTGAGGCTGCTGAGGGGCAGGGCTCTTCATGCTGCCCACCAAGTCCCAGAGAACTGGTATTCCCCATGCGGGGCTGGAGATCTGTAGCAGAAAAGGAAGTGTCGAGGCTGGCTGTACTGTCTTCTAGTGGCTGCTTATTGGGATCACTCGAATCTCCACCTGGGTCATCTCTACAATCTGTAGCCTGATGTAGTTCAGGAGTTGCTGTTCCTTTTTCTTTCTGGGAGGGGACAGGAGAAAGTGCATCATCTTTGGTTACTGATTCACTGCCTGGCCTGCTTGCTGGAGAAAAAGTGCTGTCTGATGTCACTGCCTGGTCTTGCACCACTTCTTTCTCAGCTTTGGGGACAACTGGATGTGGATCCAAAGCCACCTCACACATGTTAGTTAAAGGTATATCTAGATTCAAATCTTCTCCTTGGCCCTCTTTATCTGTAACTTCGGGAGGACAAAGATCCGCATGCTCCTGGGTATCTCGTACAGGGTCAGAGATGATTGCGTTAATCTGTGGGTCTTCACAGAGGACCGCAGAGGGTGGATGTTGTGTGATGGGCTGCCCCGTTATGCTGTCTTCAGGCTGGGCAACTATGTCATCACAATGTTTTGCCATCAACTTGCCACTAGAAGTCACTGTGTTCTGTTGTTGACATGCAGAGTCAGCACAAAGTTTATCATCTCCAGTTATAGGATAGATGGGTGACCTGCTGCTCTGACTTTCAACATGAGATGAGTTAGTTTCTGATTTCTGGTTTGGTATTAGATCTTTTTCTGGCCCGGGAAAAGTTAAATCAGAGGCTGACACTGCCTCACATATGCTTGCTGAGGGAGTGTCAGGTTTTGACCCATCTAATATCTTGTCTTTTGAGGCAGCTGGAATTACCAGAGAGTTCTGACCTACTGGCACATCAGCACTCTCTTCATAACTTCTCCTTGAAGTTTCCGTTTCTGTAGTTTTTTCAGTGGAATTTTCTCCATTGCTAAATGCAAGTAAAGACTCAGCAGGTTTATGATCATCCAGGGAACTGGTGGCAGAGACACAGTTTGGAACACTGGCTTTATCCACAGGCTTACTTGTGGCTTTTATGTCAGAGGCTCCAGCTGTGCTGAGATGAAAGTTCTCAATTCTTTCCTTTGTACTCTCTCCTACTTCAAGCACATTCTTCTGGAAGGTGGAATCTGGGTTCATGAGACCATGTTCCGTTTCCCCTACAGTCTCTGGGACACTGACATCTGTTGTTGAACTGACAGTCAGTTCACCTCCAGAGAAATGCTGGGCTGTGCCTGGCTCTGCGGCCAGGTCTTCCTGCAGGACGTTGTCTCCACTACTCAGAGACTCCTGGTCTGCAGTCATTCCACAAGATTTTGTTCCAGTTTCTTCATTTCTGTTTCCACAGGAGACAAAGCCTTCCGTGCCCTTTTTTCCACAGTCAGGCATGCTCTGAGGGCAGCTGTCTTGATCAGACACAGTTCCAGAGTCCACAACGGGGGTGGGCTCCACCTCTTCCCCATTTCTCTCCACGCCTTTATCTTCTTCCTGACAGGAACAGACTGTGTTCTCTTCCTTAACTACACTTGACAGATCACAGGAACTTTCAATCTGCCCCTTGGCAGAGCTCCCTTGGCAGCATGGAGTGCTACCTGTATATTTAGGAGGAGGAGGAGAAGGCTGCAGGCTGTCCATGGGCTCTGACGCGCAGGGAAGAGACTGGCCATCTATGCCTGGGGTGCTGGGGAGACTTGAAGGATCCTGTGCTGTAACCATTAAGGGCATAAGATTGTCCATCTGCTTGAGGTTTGTTTTCTAGGAAGAAATAAAGGATACTTTTAAAAAACAGTCCATGGGAGAAGATGCCACTGACACCTATGAGCAAAGATCCTGTTGGGACAGAAATCGTGGCCATTTCAGCCCTTCTAAGGTCACATGATAAGCTGATCTAAACAAATACAAATCAATTTTCTCTTGTTCTGATATCACTTTCCTACCTTATACCTGCATATCCCCTGGGTGTTAAAAATGGCAAAGAATATACAAGATGACTATTTTCTGTATTATAAACTTATTTTGGAGAATACATTAAAATTGAGCTGCAACAACCCTACTTTTTATAATTTATCTTATTTTTTGTTGTTGTTGAGAATATACACAGTAGAGCATACACCCATTCACCAGTTTCTACATGTGCAATTTAGTGACATTGACTATATCCTTCAAGCTGTGCAACCATTCTAATCTTCCCTTTCTGAGTTGTTCTTCCCCCACATTAACATAAACTCACCGCCCTCAACGTTCCCTTCCAATCCTTTAAGCTGCTACAACAACCTTACTTTTAAAAAAGCACAGGTGAGTATCCTCAAATGAACAAATGAGACAGGTACTTTGTATAGGGTCTTTAGAGGGACAGAGGCTGCTGGTTCCACCCTGCTTCATATACACAAGTAAGAACAAAGCCCAACCAGTGTGGCAAACTCTCTTGAAATCTCCAGGTACAGCCAAACGCTTCTGTACCCTAAGTACTTACTGAGGAGTCACACCTTGTGCTTTAATCTTAAAAATATGCTCCACCCAATCTAGCTTAACAATTGTAGAGATGGGTTAACAATTTCAAGAACAATGGCACGGTAGACTGTCGTTCATTTTTTGATGAAAACAGTTCCTCTGTTGTCTAATACTGAATATTAAATAAAAGAGAACATGTAAAACTAATAATACCTAAATCTTGATTATTCTCAGAGGGGACTGTGGCCTGACGATACTATAGGTCATCTTAAAAATAGTTTTTGCTATTTGATTTTTAAAAATGTAAACAGATGTAACCAACAACAGGAATAATGGTCAAAATAATCAAGGTTCATCAACCTAATGGAAAAAATACTATGCTGTTATATAAATGTTAACTATGAAGACCACAGAAAAATCAGGAAAAAAATACTTACAATACAATGTTTTTTTAAAAAAAAAATTACAGTTAATCTAAGATTATAATGATGCAAAAAGCACATGTGCATGTAGATAAGCCCCAGGAAGAAATGGAGCAAAACAAGTACAACTGATTTATTAGGATGAGTTTGCCTTTATATAAAAATTCAGTATTATTAAAAATACTATTTGCTGAACACAAAAAAAACTGTTTTTAAAACAGGCGGTTTGTTCTTCAGTCAATATCTGACCTACTGCAATAATCCCAAGCACATCTACGTTCCTCCGTCCTCTCGTTCATTTACTCACTCAGTAGATATACTGAGCTTACACTACTCCATCACTGACTATTCCTGTCTGCTTATTGGGTCTATCATAAGAGTCTACACAGGTAAGTGTGAAATATGTTCAAGTCCTTCCATAAGAGAATAGAAGAAAAATCGACTTTCACTAAAAGCTTCAGGGCTATACCCCTTAGAGTACTCAAAAGTAGCTTGCTTCCGTTCTCGCTGAGAATGCGCCAGCCTTCTTACGGCTATGAAAGTAGGTCATTAAATCTAATGGAGAGCAAACATTACAGAACAGCAATCCAGGAAACAAGATACTTTGCTTGAAGAATTTCAGAAGCTCGTAACACATGCATCCTTCCACATTTTTAATTTCTCGTGCCTTCCTGTTAATCATTCCCACAGTCAATCAGGCTATCATCTACCTAGCAAGAAGAGCTATAAAGGATATTCTGATTTCCTGCCAGTCCATTCAGAGGAAAATAAAACAACACCTGTTCTGGAACGAACATGATTCTGGAAGGCAAAGGCAGCTACACCACACAACCCTGCTGTGAAGCCTCTTGGCCTGCTGGTCTCAAAAATGCCTGCTCCCAAAGAAGCCTCTGGCACTGAGCTGACCCTAGATGATCTTTAATGAAATTACTGCCAAGCTGTTTCCAAATCAAATCAGCTCTGAACTAAACTGGGTGGAAAAATTATCTAAACTTAGCCTTTCAGATGTTATGGCCAAGAGAGACGTAGCCACATGACGTTTATATTATCCATAATAAATGCTACTAGGGACTCTAATGTTTTTATGTCTGGAAACAACTTTATCTCGAAGGCTTGAGTGGGTTATAAAACCTTTATTTTTTTTAGTGATCTTTTTTACCATAAAACTATCAATTTAAATACAGTAACATTATCATCACTCACTGAAATAGTTGTGAAAAGGCTTTATTTCTAACTAAATGTAGTTCGTGTTCTTTAGCAACAATCTCAGAAACTGTTTTGTTCAGTTAGTTTTATAAAGTTAAACCAAACACAGACAAATTTCCTCCACGCCAGGAAAATTTAGCTCTAGTTGTTGGATATTTCTGTATCTATAATGTGTAACTTTCATTATTCAAAAATATGGCAAAAGTCAATGAAAAAGTCTCTCGTCTCCCTATTGCTACAACTCTAAATGCTAATTCTGTATCTGTAAGTGGCAACAACCAATACTGCTATTACTGCCTAAGAGGTTTCACAGTCTTTGTGGGAAGCATTTTGATGCTCTAATTATATATAACAAGATATACAGGGGGAGGGGGGAAGCGAACCTCACAAAAGCCCGAAAGCAGAAACTTTCTTCCTTACCATCAGCTGCTGCTGGATGTTCCTAAGCTTAAAAATATGTCCAGTGCAACTGTCTCCAGGAAATGGGGGTTCGTGATGTGATTCAGACGCAGAGGTTAACGTATAGATGTCCAGCTCTCGATGATGTCTTACAGAACAGTCTCCATAGGGTATTTCATAGGACAAACTGCTCCAGGAGTCTGGTTCTCCAGCATTCTCCCTGCAAACAGGCAAGCAAGCTCTGGTGAATATATACATTCTGCCTCCCAAGCATAGGCTTAGCCCTTTCTGTCTTATGTAAAAGTTGTAACCTGACTGTCTCAAAAAGGAGGTTCTGGTGCGGAAATCTGGCTTGCATAGTGCCCATTTCTTCAGGCGTATAACTAATTGCTCCATCCTCCTCGCCAAAGGTCACAAAAGGGGTAAATGAAAACTGCAGGAGTCCTCCCTACAGACGTTCTTTTGACCAAGAGACAGAGAAGTCTGGGATCTTAAAAGTTAACATTATGCTAACAACCAAATAATGAGGAAGGGCGTGCAGGATGGTTTTAGCAAGGCTTATTAAGAGTTTCTCTTAAAATAAGTTACACCATACGTTAATTGCAGTCAATTATACTGAAAAGGGAAGAACCAGTTACTCCAGCCCGTGCAAGTGCCCTCCAACTTCTATAAGTGGAGGAAGCATTCTTAAAATTCCCAAAGTCAACTCCATAGAAAAAACTAATACAACTGCCATACTATGCTATAGTTGTCAATTTAATCATCAAATCCTATCTTGAATAAAGCACTTAGTACCAAGAACTTCCAGTTAAAAAGAAAATTTTTTTAATTTAAAAAACAAATAGCTTTGCTTAGCTCATATCATTAAAAACATACATTATATACACATAAAGGTGACAAGGATACAGGTATGTAACAAGGCATTCCTGAGACAGGACTCAAAACATGAAATCTCCCTTTATATGGTTCTCTCTAATGAACTTTCCTCTACTATAAGCAAATTAATTTGAACAAAGTAAGTGGATATCTTCTCCAAAGGCCACAGCAACCCCAATTTCATCCTTACTTCTAGAAGGCATACCTACACCCATAATGCCTGCTGCAACACAATACACAATCTATATTGTATTTTTCACACCAGATGAGAGAATTTTGGAGTATGAGACAACCAGGGGGTAAGGTACGCAATGATACACCGCACAATTGCATATTACACAATTACTATAACTTGGCACAAGTTTCAAGTGTTCAGCAGCCTCTTCAGGATTCACTGCATTCTGATAAACTTCCGAAGCCCCAGTCCTTGGCACGACTGCTCTTTCTTGGTAGTTTGGAAGATGGTGAAATGCACAGTTGGAGAGATATGGGCTCAAATCCCGGCACTTTATTTCCTAGCTATGTGATGTTAGGCAAGTTCCTTAACTTTGCTGAGCCTTAATTTTATAATCTGCAAATAGGGATACTACAATCCAAGCACTGTTGTGAGAATTAGAGAAAATGTATCTGAAGAACCAAACATAGCAGCACAATAATAGATTATGCTTTCCATCAACCTTTTACTCCTTGTCTTGAATTCCCCTTTATTATCTCTTTCTTTATAACGTTAACATCCTTGAAAACCACCATATCATATTTATATATCCCATCTAAGCAACCAGTAGACTGGTAAAATATCTCAGAGATTCTGAAAGGCGGCTACGTGTCAGATTATTACCATGGTTTGAAATTGTAGAAACTAAAGAAGAAATAATAGACACACATTAACAAATGTGAGAAACACCACTTCAACTCTTTTCTCCACAGTTTTGTCTAGTAAGTCATACCTGTCTGTTATTAACAATTCACCTGGGGAAAACTGGAATTTTAAACCTAAAAATATGCGATAGTGGTAAACCTATAACAAACTGAAGACTCACACACTGGCTCAGAGTAACAATTAAGGCTGCCTCAACAAAAAATTATTGTTAATATCCATACTCATGAGCAGGCCCACAACAGCTGCATAAAATAAAGTAAGTTTAGCTCATGCTATGCTAAATGTTTAATGTATTTACCAAGCTGCTGAACTGTAAGTGACTGTAAGATAGTCATTTGAAAAGTTCACCTGAACGACTCAGTTAAAAACTCAATCAACTACACCCTATTAGGGAGAGGAAACTTCTCTGTAAGTTCAACTTTCAAGCTTGGGTTGATGTTGTCACTAACTCTGCTTAATTGTCTGACAGACATTATTCACATCTCTGCTAACTCAGATTACCACACAGAGCCATAGTTCAACAAAAAAAGATTGAAAACAAAACCTGATTTATACCCACCATTCAGTATGAGGAGCCCTGGTAGCGCAGTGGTTAAGAGCTCGGATGCTAACCAAAAGGTCGACAGTTCAAATCCACCAGCCGTTCCTGGAAACCCTACTCTGTCCTATAGGGTCACTATGAGTCGGAATCGCTTGACGGCAATGGTGTGTGTGTGTGTGTGTGTGTGTGTATTCGTGTATGTGTGTGTATTCGTGTGTGTGTGTGTGTATTCAGTATGAATCAAATATAACGAGACTTAGAGGGGACTGTTTGCCATGGCAGGGGCTCTGCATTAGATAAAAAAGTGACACAGTCCATTTCCAGCAAAATGGAATATTTTATCAACCGTGCTACTATTAATTCTCAAATTGTTTTATTTTCAATATCTAAACTTTGGGTAATTCCCTTCCCTGTTGTTGTTGTTAGGTGCCATCAAGTCAGTTCCAACTCACAGCAACCCTATGTACGACAGAACGAAACACTGCCTAGTCCTGCAATTGTTGTTATGCTTGAGCCCACTGCTGGCGGCTCCACTGTGTCAATCCATCTCATTGAGGGTCTTCTTCTTTCTCACTGACCCTCTTCTTTACTAAGTATGATGTACTTCTCCAGGGACTGATCCCTCCTGATAACATGTCCAAAGTATGTGAGACAAAGTATTGCCATCCTCGCTTCTAAGGAGCATTCTGGCTGTACTTCTTCCAAGACAGATCTGTTCGTTCTTTTGGCAGTCCATGATATATTCAATACTCCTGGCCAACACCACAACTCAAAGGCATCAATTTTTCTTCGGTCTTCTTTCTTATTCATCATCCAGCTTTTGCATGTACTTGAGGCAACTGAAAACACCATGGCTTGGGTCAGGCGCACCTTAGTCTTCAAGGTGATATCTTTGCTTTTCAACACTTTAAAGAGATCTTTTGTTGCAGATTTGTCCAATGCAATGCATCTTTTGATTTCCTGACTGCAGCTTCCATGGGCGTTCACTGTGGATCCAAGTAAAATGAAATCTTTGACAACTTCAATCTTTTCTCCATTTATCATGATGTTGCTTATTGGTCCAGTTGTGAGGATTTTTGTTTTCTTTATGATGAGATGTAATCCATACTGAAGGCTGTGGTCTTTGATCTTCATCAATAAGTGCTTCAAGTCCTCTTCATTTTCAGCAAGCAAGGATGTGTTATCTGCATAACACAGGTTGTTAATAAGTCTTTCTCTAATTCTGATACCCCGTTCTTCTTCATATTGTCCAGCTTCTCGGATTATTTGCTCAGTATACAGACTCAATAGGTACGGTGAAAAGATACAACCCTGACACACACCTTTCCTGACTTTAAACCACACAGTATTCCCTTGTTCTGGTCAAACAACTGCCTCTTGATCTACGTACAGTTTCCTCATGAGCACAATTAAGTGTTCTGGAATTTCCATTCTTTGCTATGTTATCCATAATTTCTTATGATCCACACCGTCAAATGCTTTTGCATACTCAATAAAACACAGGTAAACATCTTTCTGGTATTCTCTGCTTTCAGCCAGGATATATCTGATATCAGCAATGATATCACTGGTTCCACATCCTCTTCTGAAACTGGCCTGAATTTCTGGCAGTTCCCTCGGTAGGTCACAATTACTCTATCACACAGTCCCATGCAATCACCTGCGTGGGAGTTACAAGAGCATGGCTAGAAGGGCCACACAAAAGTAACCAATCACACCGCAATCTCCCAACAGGAGAATCACAAGGCGGAATAAGACATGCACAGGCAAAAGACTGGCAGAATTGAGACTGACAGGGCAAAATAAATTTTGGACTTCCTTATCATTCATACTCTAGAGTCTATGTCCAATGCATGGAGTGGCAGGTACCTACAGTATTTTAAACTCTTTGTTTGTTTTCCTCCATCCTACAGATGGATTCTGTAAGTTAAGGATGCATATGAGCCACTCTATACAATCAAAATGCCTACCACAGGGCTGTGCACATAAAGTGTGAGCAACATATTTTTGCGAAACAAATTCAAACAGGAACACAGGAATAGAGAGGGCTAGATTGAAACAGCTTTTTAAAAATTAGTTATATAGGCACAAACACTTCTACAAGACTTATAAAAATAAACTGCATTCTCCCACCTTCCTCCTCACCCCACTCACCACACGCAACCACTTTTAACTTTTCTAGTGTTTTAGTATTTACCTTCTTACCCTATTATATACTTATACCACTGTTTCTTTTTCTTTTTTTAAATTTTAAGCATTACAAATTGACTTCCCAACATAGAAAATGAGTTATTTAGCCCAGGAATCTGCCCCTTTTTCAAAAAACAAAAACAAAACAAAAATCACATGCACACAGCCTGTCCCTTTCTCCTCATAATAATTATAACAACTATGGTTGGATCAGTGTCTATATTATTACGCATCTAGAAATGCTCTTCACAGCTGATCCAAGTAATATGCAATGACTACTTTTCCTTTCTTGAACCATTTATTATTTTCTTTGTAGTTTTTTTTTTTTTTTTAATTACTCCTAACTAAAATCATATTCTCATGGTCTGGCTCACAATGTAATATTCAAAGATCGTTCAATCAAACATTTACTGAACACTTATTAAATGGTAGGCACTGTGCTAGACGCCAGGCCTACAAGGATAAATATGATGACTTTCTCCAGTATAAGTTCAAACACACAGTTTCAGGTCAAACATGAATTTCTATTAGATAGCCACAGTTTGGCTTATTAGTGTTACTGCCATTTCCATAGACACAAAAAGCAGAACTGTCCTCTTACAAGTGTGAAATTTCATGCAGGAAATATACATTTCATTAAAATTAATATGCTAGTAAAAGGACCACCATTTTATGTACACTAAGAAGGAAAAAAACTGTTGCAAATTAAATTATGATACAGTGCTATGACACC